TATTAATTTTAAATTGTTAGTTATTTTAATCGTGCAAAGTTTTCATTACTGCGTCAAATACAACCATAAAAGTGCTGAATATATTAATAAACAATTATGCCATTTTAATAAAATTCGAAATATTTTTTGTTAGTTTAACTTTTATTATAAAAGTAAAAAATTAATAAACATTTATCAGAATTTTGAAAAAGATTGCCTCCTGTGAGGATTGAACTCACGACCCCTGGTTTACAAGACCAGTGCTCTGCCACTGAGCTAAAGAGGCGAATGGGGCATGTGCGTCAGACAACTCACATCATATAAAGAGAGTGCTCACCGCCATAATTGACTTTCATTCGTCACCTAAATTTAGGAAGTTCTTTTAATAAACTTAACTGTGTTTTCGTGTATGAACAAGTGTGCTGCTAGTCGAAGTTCAAATTCCACTGCCGACGCTTTCTATGTATTCAGTCGTTGCGCGGCGTTGCCGGCTGTGTGAAAATCGAAAGAGAAGAGTATCAGAAGTAATTTCGAAAATTTGTTTGTAAACAAATTTCAAGCTATACGCTCTCTCGCGTATCTCGCAATAGATTTCATTCTCAGCTGCTCTGAATAGCTCTGAAATGCTTCTTCGATCTAAAAATAAAAGGCCCGCGACCGATTGTCTGGATACCACCACACGTTGTAGGCCATTTAGTTCGAGTGCAGTATTCAGCGGCGACAGAAGCGGTCCTAAAATTTTCACTACTTGCATAATTTGAGATTTGATAGCTGATTTTCAATTAAATATTGTGTTAACGCCATGAAAATGCCACTTAGCCAGAAGAAGGGCTTCTTTGCCGAGTACTATCTAAAGCTGCGCGAAGCAGGTGGCGCCAGCTGCGAGGCGGACATAGCCAAGTTATCCGCATGCGGCACAGATGATGAGCGCGTGGCCTATGTGGACCAGTTGCCCTGGGTGCGTGACGGTGATGCGGACCTGCAAGTGCAGCGGGAATTCAATGGAAAGAATGCAACTGTTGCAGCAGAGCTGAAGGAACGAGCCACAACGGCCTTCAAGCAGAAGAAATGGCTGGAGGCCATGTTGCTCTACAGCAGATGCTATGTGACGTTGCCACATGACAAGCGTGAGTGAAAGTCTTATACTATAAAGTGAACTCTTATATTATATAAATAACTGCTATACTTGTACATACTACAGTGGAAGAGCGTTCTATTGCACTGGCCAACCGCTCGGCCACTTTGTATCACTTGCAAAAGCACAGCGAGTGCCTGGTGGACATCAGACGCGCCCTGGAGCTGGAGTATCCCAAGGAGCTCGTCTACAAGCTGTACGAGCGCCAGGCGCGCTGTTATATGGCTCTGAAGGACTATCCGCGTACGATCAACGCCTTCAAGTAGGTAAAGTTGGAAATTTGAAAAGGTTTTGACTAATATCTCAATTGATTATCTAGAAAATGCATCACGGCCACGGATGACTCCACGCTGCCCGCTGACAGGCGATCCAAGCTGCATCTCGATGCCATGACCATGATCAAGATGCTGGAGAACGATCCGCGCACAGCCAAGCAAGCCGCCAAGCAGCAGAAACTGAAGGAAGCCAAATCCTCCACTCCAACTCTGGAGCAGGCTCAAACGCTGCCCTACGAAAAGGAGTTTGTTAGCGATCTGGTTCGCATCGATCAGAACCCGCAGGAGGGCAGATTCGCACGCGCTGCGTCCGATGTGCAGGTGGGCCAGGAGCTGCTAGTCGAGCATCCATATGTAGCTGTGCTGCTTGAGAAATACGCGCAGACACACTGCGAATTCTGCTTTATGCGGTAAGTGAGAGATGAGATAGAAATTGATGGGAAGTCGTGAAGTGGCTGGTGATCAATGTTTAATGTAGGTCCATATACATAGGGATATTTATAGGAAATTTWGGGAAAGGTCAAAGAAAATCTATTGAAATATAATATTGATTATATTAAAATGAGAAAAAACTACGGACAAAATCACATATCATATAAATAAATATAGAATATATAGAAAACTCTCTTGTTTATAAAATAATATAAATAACGCAAAATATATATAATATTTTTAGTGAGGCTAAATTCTTCATTAATACTAAAAATAGTTTAATATTAGTAGCTTTGACTACTACTAATGACTAGTAAATACAAATAATGGGAAATATGATATACATCAATATTTAGACCTTGAGAGATATACACCAACAATATGGCTTACTCATATTTCACCTTCTGCGAATCTTATTGTTCGCTGATTATTTTAGTTAAGTTAGTCATCATATAGTAAGCTAATTATATAGTATATATGTTAAAGCTGCCAATAATGAGAGAGTTATTCGAATTTAAAGTTGATTTAGATTGTAGATTTTACATTTTTGCTTATTTTAAATGCATGCATAAGTTACTGGTGTTTGTAGGTGAATTCATGAATAATATATATGATATACTCATATCAGCTGGCTGTTAAGCAGGTATAAAATAATGTAAAGGTAATATAAGTATTTATCAAAATTTTTTATGAAAGACAAGTAGACCAAAACTAGAACTATGTCCCTCAGTCTTTGCCTAGGGTCCTCAGCAAATAAGTAAAAAATTCTAGACCTACTGCGGGCTTTATGGAGCCTTAAGTATAGCCATTTGGAACATAGAGCAAAAGCCTGGATAGTAAAGCAGAGGGAGATATAGCAGGATTAAAAAGAATTAAATTTTTAAATACATTGACTAAACAAACTTTAAATTTATACTATTAACTAAATTACTAATTATAAATAATAGATAACCTAGTTCTAATCAGAAATACTTTACAACTTTCACAAGTGGTATTTAAAAAAAAAAATTTTTTTTCTGCGATATTTTGTATTGAAATTTTTTATTTTTTTTTTTTATTTTTGTGAGATATTTCTTATCTCTTCATCATCGCATACATATATTTATATTTTATTTACTACATTCTTTAATTGGCATATATTTGTTTATTTGTTTTAATGTTATCTTTACAACTCTTATGCTCCACTTATAACTATTTGCAGCACTGTGGTGCCTGTGTCTTGTCCCGGTTGCTCGGACGTCATCTACTGCTCGGAGCAGTGCCAGCAGAAGGCGGCCGCCAAGTACCACAAATTCGAATGTGGACTTTTGCCAGTGATCTGGCGTTCCGGTGCCTCGATCAACAATCACATGGCGCTGCGCATCATTGCCAGCAAGCCGCTGGACTACTTTATGCAGCTGAGAGCCAGTCTGGACGAGGAGCTCTCACTGGAGCAGCTCTTGAGGTTTGTCATTTTGTTACTTGCAATTTGCTGGTTGATTTCGGATTTCCTCTTTTGGTTTGCAGTCTGCCCAAAGATGACTTTCGGCGCGTCGCCCATCTGGAGCGGCATCAGAAGGAGCGACCCCCGTCGAACTTCTTTCAATATGTGCTGATGGCGCGCTTTCTCACCAGATGCCTGCAGGCGGCGGGCTACTTTGGCAGCGAGCCGAAGTCGGAGCAGGTGAGCGCCATTGGCGGTCTGCTGCTGCGCTGCCTGCAGTTCATTCAGTTCAACACGCACGAGGTGGCCGAGCTGCACAAGTACGCGGCCGAGGGCAGGGAGAAGTCGATCTTCATTGGCGGCGCCATCTATCCGACGCTGGCGCTGTTCAATCACTCATGTGACCCCGGCGTGGTCAGGTACTTCCGCGGCAACACCATCCACATTAACACCGTGCGACCCGTGGAGGCGGGGCTGCCCATCAATGAGAACTACGGGCCCATCTACACGCAGGATAAACGCGAGGATCGCCAGGCCAGGCTGAAGGAGCTGTACTGGTTCGAGTGCAACTGCGACGCCTGCCTGGAGAATTGGCCGCTGTTCGACGACCTGCCCAGGGACATCATTCGCTTCCGTTGCGAGGCGCCCAACAACTGTACGGCGGTCATTGAGGTGCCGCCCAGCTGCAACGACTTCATGATCAAGTGCGTCACCTGCGGCGAGCTGACGAACATACTGAAGGGCCTCAAGGTCATGCAAGACACGGAGATGATGACGCGCACGGCCAAACGGCTCTACGACACCGGCGACTATGCCAAGGCGCTCAACAAGTTTGTCGATCTGCTGCGCATCATGTACGAGGTGTTGGCGCCCCCATTTCCCGACTTTTGCGAGTGCCAGCAGCACCTGAAGGATTGCTTCCTTAATCTGGGCAATGTCTACAACCTGAACTGATCAATATCAATTGCATGGAATTTTATGGCCTTTTCAATAAAATACTCAAGTTGCAAAATACTACTATTTAATGAATATTTATTTGTAATTGCTGAAAAATTACCCTCAATTGTCTCAATTAGAAATTTAATATATTCATTTATACAATCCCCCATCTCACTCCCTTGCTGCCCCTCCTTCTCGTGTAAGAGTAGTAGTTCATTAGACATTTCCCATTATTTATTTAATAAATACTCCAGCTGGAATAGCTTATACTGCTGCAGCGTCCCTCATGCAGTTTGCTGCAGCCGGCATAGCCGCTGTAGCCGTAATAACAGCAGCGATAACAGCTTGTTATGGGCTTCCAGCTGGTCACTGTAACGTTGAAAAAACATATATACATATATTGATATATATAGTCCGACCTTCAATAATTTGCGCGCTACTTACATCCGCAGCTCCAGCGAACATATTTATTTTCGGCTTGCTCCTTCAGATAACATTTCAGTCCACCTCCGCTCTCATGCGAGTCCCACAGCCACGGTGGGAATTGTGGAACATAGGTTGGGCGACTGGGATGGTGTGGAACGTATGTGGGCGGCGTATAAATAGGATAAGTTGGTGTGGTAGTGTCTGGCCCTGGCTCTGTGCTGGGAATTGTTGTTGCTTCTGTTGGTGCTTCAGTTGTGGTTGTTGGCATTGTAGGCTTATCAGTTGTTGTTGGGGCAGGCTCTGTAGTTGTGGTTGCTGTAGCAGTGGTTGTTGTCTCCGCTAACTCGGTAACAGCTTCAACCGTGGTTGTGGGAAAATCTTCAGGAAATTCGACAGGAATATCTTGCGCCTGGACTTGGACTTGAACGTGCACTTGGATCAATAGCCAGAGCAGGCATATTGAATTCAACTTGAATTGTAATGTCATTATGGCAAGAACCAATAGTTCGTGTTGTCGCGTGCTGCTTGCGTTTCAGACTGATCGTCAGTCGAACTACCGAGACGAGCATCTAGTGCGCCCGCTGCGAAAACCGTATTAAATTTACTTAGGCGATTCGTGGAAAACGCATGAGTAATTTGTTTTCGGCTCGCTTAAATCGCAAAAAAAGTAAATAAATAAAAACAATGCTGTGGCACATTTCTCGTAGTGTATGTCGCAGCTGCTAATAGCAGCCCACTGCCCGCTCAGCCAGTGGAGGGCAACTCGGCTGAGTCTTATCAGTGGTGAAACCCGCAAACGAACACCGCTTAATTTACTCAACTGCGGGTGGATGAGCACGCGTGCGCGACTTACCTTGTAATATATTTATCGTCGCATTTTTAATGGACTTCATTTTGGTATTTGCTGTTGTTGTTGCTGCTGTTGTCTGGCAACAACACCCGCATATGCTGCAGTGCCTGATGACGCAAAAGAACTTTTGTACTCAATCACATTTTGCATGAATGAACGAAGCGAAGTCTCTCATATGCAAATCTGATTGTTATTGAACTTCAATTAGCACGTAGACTCCCCGAGGGACATTCACATTACTCACATTCACTTGCATTGCGAATAAAAAAAAAGGAAGTTACATATTGTTTATTTTGTCATTTACTCTTGTTATATTAAGTCATTAAATATAGTGCAATTGGGTTTGTTAAACGAGAATGAACTCAGCCAAACCCTTTAAGCTGAGCATAATATCCAGTTGCTCACAAAACAGTTAAGCCCCGCTAAATTGCTAGAATTTTCGTAACATTTTAATATTCGCCACCTGCCTAAAGATATGCAACAAGTATTTCGTAACTTCAGGAAAATCTTCTGTATATATAATTTGAGGTAAGCCGCGTGCCTAAAAATAGACAATATTTTCTTTTTATTTATATGAATAATTGAGGGTTAAATAACATTGCAATATTGATAAATTAATTTTAAAAAAATGTTAATTGAATAATAATTGGATAACAAATTTTGAAGAACGATCAGAATTTAAATTAACTATCAATTGATTACAAATTCACTGCAAATTTAATCAAAAAATTTCCTGAAAAACAGTTATCATTTTCAATCCAACTTAAAACATTAAGTAAATTCTTTAACATGTTTAAATAAATAAAATTGTATTAAGAAAATATGTTTATATTGATTTATCTGATGCCTGATGTTTGACATAAAACAATTAGCGAAAAATAGTTGCTGTCGAATGTCGTTAAAATTAAAATTAATTTATTTATTTTTACTGAAAATACCTTGGTAGGTGTAAGAGCTCTAATATTTGCAGTGCTAAATAAGCAAATGCTCAAAAGTCAAGCTCATATAAAATTAACCAAGTCGGCATCTGGCCATAATAATTATCTGATTATTATCATTTGGGAGCACCAAAAAATGCTTTAACTATTTACGCTTAAGAAATTGTATTTAAATTAGATTTAGTATGACTGAAAACAATAACTCGATCGAAATTAGACAGGGAATAAAGAAATCCCATTGCATTTAAATTATATTTTTAAAAACTGATCTACAAAGGAGGGAAATATTTAATGTCTTTTGTAAAATGTCTAAACAGTACATGGAAATTTCCCGATTTTAACTAGTTTGCTTTTACATCTCTGCTTTTCATTTATAATGTTCCAAATAAAACACATTGGATATTTTGATTTTTAAATATTTTTTATTACACATATAATTCGTAATTTATGAAATATGTTCATTTGTGCTGGATAATTATTTACTTAGACACAATAACAATTTGTAACAAATAATTCGGTGTTGTGGCTTAGCAAATCGCATTTCGCATTTCGAGTCCCGAATCTGTGCTGCAAGTGGTGTAGCTAAGGCCAATTAATGCGAATTTTACTTATCTTATGCTCTAAACATAGAATATTCAATACAGTTTAGGTGTTAGTACGACTAAAACAAAGCGATTTTTATTTTTTAACAAATAAAAATGATGCAATTTGCATTGTGAGGCTCTCGTTGAGCTAATCTAAGTGGAAACGAATTCGATGGATTCTCCGTGAGGCAAAGACGAATGTGCATAAGCAACTCACACACATGTGCCAATACAACAACAAGATCGTGAAACTGTTCCCATGGGAACAAAGCGACAATTATGATTGGATAGAGAGAGAGAGAGAGGGAGAGAAAGAGAGAGAAAGAGAGAGAGAGAGAAAGGCAGAGAGATAATTGAGTGGCCTTAAAAGTCGTAAGAGTTGGCTTCATCGTCGCCTTTGCGCACTTTGAAGATGAACTTGTAGATGATGGCAGCAACAATGCCGCCCACAATGGGTCCCACCCAGTAGACCCAGTGGTCAGTCCACATGCCCTGGACGACGGCTGGTCCGAAGGAGCGAGCTGGATTCATGCTGGCACCAGTGAGATTAATCTGTGGAAAGAAATCTCTTCACATGCTAACCTTTTACTCGTATTCACTCTTCACCTACCGCACACAAATGTCCCGCTGCAATGGACAGGCCCACAGCCAATGGAGCCGATCCCTTGATGTCCTGGCGACCCGGATCGGACACGGCCTTGACCACAAACACCAGAATGAACGTGATCAGCGCCTCGATCAACACCACCTGACCCACATCCAGCGAGGCATTAAATGAGGAAACGCCGAGTCCGGTGGTTAGTATTCCGCTGAGAGCTGCCCGGATGACAGCTGCTCCGGCAATGGCGCCCACGCACTGAACGATTATGTAGAAGGCCGCCTTCAGAATGCTCATCTCGCCGACGATCAAGAAGCCGATGGTGACGGCCGGATTGATGTGGCAGCCGCTGATATGTCCAAGACCCTGCAAAGTGCAAAAAGAGTAAAGAATAAAATATTGGGATTTTGTTATGGGAAATACTAAAAAATTGCATCTGTGTATCTATGTATCTATGTATCTATGTATCTATTTATCTATGTATCTGTGTATCTATGTATCTATGTATCTATGTATCTATTTATCTATGTATTTATGTATCTACATATATCTATGTATCTATGTATTTACATATATCTATGTTATAATATATTTTATCTTTGTGTATGTCTCTGCCATAATATAAAATGCAGGGAATTTCTCTTTCTGTAATCCCTCCAAATATATGTATAAATATATTTATTCAAGCAATTACACACATTAAATGATTTAAATCTTTATTGCAGATAACTAATTGCAATAACACTTGGCATCGCATTCTAAAGAACATTAACAAAATTAAATCTGCTTAACGAGGTCATAAATATTTTCGTTTAATATCTCGTCGAGCTTGTATTTTAATCACATATACTATAAGGTAATGCCATGATAAAACAGATTTACCAGCTAACCAAATTTACAATGTAAGCCAGTAAATAAAAGCTGAGAGTAGAAATACGCATATATATGAAGAGCACTCCACGTCCCATCGATGGATCTCTCTTTCACTTTGTGATCAGTTGACAGATACAGTTTCATTATAGACCCAAGCATCTGCTCATTGTGAAGATCATGTGAACGCTAGACATTAAATGTCAAGCCTTCAAGTTGAGCACTTGTTGCTGCCTCGTTTCTGGGTTGGGCAATGTTTACCCTTTGCCATGGCGTCTGCATTTTGCCTCTTGCACAATGCTGGTTAACGCCAGTAACAACTTGCAGCGGATGCAAGCAATTTGTCAGACAGCTGAGTTGCACTCAAATACTCAGTTACTCAGATGCTCAGACACTCGGGCATTGGCTCTGGCCAATGGGCAACTCTCTAGCTCGCTGTCAATCGCCTTTAAAGTTCAGTTTGATGAGCATTTGGCTAAAAGTAAAAGTGATTCGCATTCTGTTGAGTCATGAGCCAAGCTGTCAGCTCGAGCTGTCAGGCTGGAACTGGAGCTGGATCTATAGTGGCAGAGCAGCGCAGCTGAACTTGTTGTGCTTAGAACGAAAGATACACAAAAACACGAATAAGAATAACAAATTGCCACTCGAGCGGCGAGTGAGTACGGTTGCGACTACGACTCGAAGTCGACGCATGACTGTGAGTATGAGTACTCGTGTTATGAATGAATACGCACTACATTCAAAAACGCGTCTATGCCCAAGGCCGAGGTGCAGGCTTCTATGTACTACCATATCGCAGTGCGATTTCAGTTTCGATTTAGTTGTGGCTAAGCCTGCCTAAGCTCGACTCCGCGGCAGGTGCGGGCTGGCCGGCGTTAAGGGGCTGGGGCCACTAGTTTAGGCCCGAGCGGTGCACAGCTCGAACGGCTTTAGACACATTTCGATGCAATCTTCGAAGTTCGCTTGGCCTTTGCCATACGCACGCTTTGCAATTTATAATTGTTTTTTGCTTTACTTGTTTTTGGTTGCTTTTCATCAAATTATATAAGTGCAGTGCGCTGCGGCTTTTGTTGCTCTTGTGGCAAAGTGACTGCGTGAATAATACGCTGTCAGTCGCACCTAATCATCAAGATCGCGCACATTTGCAAGAGTTGCTGCTGCTGCGATTGCTGTGGCTGTTGTTGTTGTTGTTGCCACATCGATTAGAATGCACACTTGAATGAGTCATGATATTTCGATGTGGCACACACACACATTCACACACTCACACTAAACCTATCATTAAATAATTTGATTTACGTATGCAGCACAAACATGCGTCAAGTGCGTGAGAATAGAGGCGGGCAAGTCATAACTATTTGCGAAGTCTAAACTGTAATTGTGGAGTATATGGAATAACAGACCAAAAAGTATTTATTCGAGTGTAGAATAACAATGAAGAAATACTCTTTTATTTGTAGCATAGATTGTAGAATAGTATCAAATTATTTTTATAATTTATATGTATTGTGAAATGCATTGCAGTTATAAAGTACCAGCGTCAACTGGGTAAAGGTACTTTTGAGTGGTTCTGGCCACGGTTAAGGTTTGTGAACTGGGTGTAAATACATATGCATGCAACTCAGTTTTTTTCAATTTGCATTTTTAATTATTTTATTAATTAAAAGATATTTGCTTAAGACAAATTTATTTTGTTTCAAATTATTTTCTTGCAAATTAAATGGTTATATGTATTTAAAGATATTTGATATTTAAATTTATTGTTACATTATTAAAATATATGTAGCTGTCATATTTTCATTCCAGCTTCCACTCCATTCACCTTATGTTTTTTGGTTTAACTATCAGCCAAGTGATCTGGTTACATATCTAATAGCAACATGCTGAAGGGAAGATAGAGAATTGACTTACGTTGCATAAAACCAATATACTCGTTAAACTTCTCGAACTTTTATAGGATATTTGGTTTCCACGAAATTTGCATCTATTTTTATAGCATTTATTGTGTTGGTCACTTTAGGTAACTCCATCTCTCTCACACTATCTATCTCTCTATTCGTCTCTCTCTCTCTCTCTCTTTTATGCTGTGTGTCTTACTATTTGCACGCATTCGCTGATATATGCATAGATATAGATAATGATCGCATGGATTGAGGCTTACGCAGGCGCACGAATGTCTGCGCGCATTTGTTGTTCTCGTTGTTGCTGTTGTTGTTGTTGCTGTTGTGCGACATTTGCGCGTTAAATCATATTTTATGGCTTTTTAGTTAAATTGAATGTTAACTTGTTCGTTTCGTTCTGCTTTGCTGCATTTGTTGCCGTTGTTGTTGCTGTTGTTGTTGTTGTTGGTGATTGTTGCTGCGTATTTCAAGTTCGTTTTGGCCAAAAAGCCGAGCAGTTGGCCCAAAGCTTGTAGCTGGCTTTGCCATTTTGGCTCATTTCGGCGCAGTTTTGTGGATCGTTTGATTTTACTGAATTGAATCGAATTGAATTGAACTGAGAAAACGTGAATGGTGCACGCACAATTTTGTAGCCCATGTTGTTGTCGTGTTTGTTTTTGTTGCATAATTAACGCACACGCACACAGAGACAGCCACAACTGTGTTGTTGTTTTTGTTTTTTTATTGATCTTGCATGTTGCACCTTGATTGGTGCTGGAGGTTTTTTTGACTTTGACTTCGCGCTTGGCCTTTCAGAGTTTTTTCGCAGCTCTGTTTCAGATCGGGGACTCATCTGTTCTATGGCATATTGCGTTTCGTCCGATAATGGCCGTAAATCAAAGAGCCAATCCCTAATTGCGGGCCGTGCATCTGATTAGACTTCAGCTCAGCTCAGCTCAGCTCAGCTCAACTGCCGGCACTCAAAATTTATGATTATTATTTCTTGGCGTTTCGCTTCGTTTGGCGACCCGCATAAAAAATCAGCACTGGAATTTTCTTCCCAACTATACGGAATACTCAGATATGAGTATACTATATATATATTATATATTTATATATGTTTGCTATTAAAATCAAACTGTCAACAGTTTAGCATTTCTATGGCTTGTTGTTGTCATCTATAATCGTTCTGTTGTTTGCATTTTCTAGCTGCCCCACTTCCTTTTGTCAACTCATGAGACAATGCAACGCAAATCGCATACAAATATCGCCGCTGTTGACGTCTCCGACGAGCTTAAACAATGATATTATCTGGAAGAGCGCGAGCTGTATTCACATCACTGATTAGGCTCTGACTGCACCTAACTAGATATTCATTTGTAATCGAAACTAATTATGACTGGTTCTGTCGGCAAATAAAAAGCTAAGGGCAAGGGCTGAAAACGCAGTCATATATTTCATAAGTTATAAAACTTGTAAATATGAATATATTTATAAGCATATCTTTTATAATAATTTATACACTTATAGTTGAGTAGTTGAATGTGTATTTCAGCTGCTTTTATATGTTTCTTGAATGCGTTTTACATAAACTTTCATTATTTGTTTATATAAAATATTATAGTTATATATTAGCAAGTACATTGTGTCCTATACAAAAGTTGGGATATTTTTAAATTAAAGCCTGGGGATATTTTATATATCCCAAATCGTTGCGGCTGTATGGATTTAGTATTTTTCATTGACATATTGCGAGATATTCTGTTGCCTTTAAGAATATGCGTCGTATTTCCTGCTATATTTCAATGAGAATACAATAATCATTACCTACCTACTATTTGTTTAAGATACTAAATTCATATCTACCTCGCCTCTCTTGCTCTCCTCTCTTCTTCCTTGTGCACCTTAAGTTCTTTTCTGCAAATGATATATAGATTTCATTTCTCATTTCTACTTTTCTATTTCTCAACTTCATCTTCAGCTCTTTTCCCTTGCAAAGAAATCTGCCCAAATTATAATTCATGCACATATCTCTAATGCTCTTCATAATAGGCATCTAACACGCTAAAGTCTAATAATAAAGGGAAATTATGTTTGTAGTGTCTGCTGCTTGGATTACTGTACAAATTCCCCTACACACTTGAATACTTTTTCCATTTTTCATTCATGCTACTATACCTATATAAGATTAAGTGTGTCGCAACGCAGTAAAATATTGTGTTTGGAATTGTTTTTTCTCTCGCACAGATGGCATTAAATGTCGCTCAATTAGCACGTTTCTCATTTGTTACGGACTCTGCAACGCAGCTGCCAACATGTGTTGCTCTTGGCGTTGTTGTTGTTGCTGCTGTTGTTGTTGTTGTTGTCGAGCTGCTGGTTGGCTTATTTAGAAATCGAGTTCGATGACTGACCGCAAAAAGCAAGCGAGAGCAATCAGGTCTCGTGCCACACGTCATGGCTGCAAGTGCAACTAATTGTCGCAATGCTGCCCGCATTTCACAGCATGCAACTCGTGCTTCGTGACTCGTGACTGGTGACTATCTTTCTTGCATTGGCCAATCGCACTTAATTTCTGACTAATCGTTGATGAAAGTGTGGAAATTTCGAAGATACACTCTCATTGCCGACGATACCATTCGCCAGGCCAGCAATTACGCAACACCTGCTGCAGCAGCACCGTTCACACGTGGCTGGCTCAAGCCCAACGGGCAGTCAGGCAGCCTATCGTGATGTCCGTCATATCGCGATGGTAGCCAAGTCTAATGCAGGCACACACAGCTGCATATAATGTGCCCATATCTGATGAACATGATTATAAAATTAGAGTTTTGCAATAGCTGCAATATGAAAAGTCACTTCGAATGATTGAACACCCTTGCGAGAAATGTTTATAGCAAACTCTATTTTAGTAATTAAACTTATTAATAGAAGATAAGCGAAAATAATGCAATATTCATTCCAACATTAGGCTTGGTATCGAATACTTATTTAAGTGACTCTTCAACTTGCAGATTTCTCTTAAATTTTGTATTTTCATATGATGGATGAATGAACTAAGGTAAAGGTAATTTTTCATATTTCGGTAAGGACAACATAAATTGATAATACTAATCAAGTTAACTAATGAAGTTTGTTTTACAGAAACTTTGACATCTTATTCACCCACATGTAAAGTTATTCCTCTTGACATATGAATAATGATCTTGAATAGCTCAAGCCATATTCATATCCATCCATTAGTTACGTGACTTCCATTCTAAGCAATTCCAAATTAACTTCTTTAAAATATCTTCATTAAGTTAATATTCAATGAATTCAATATTCATTTTCTGGCATCACAAAGTGTTTCTTTATTTGAGGACAATTGAAAGCTAATAGAACTTCACTGAATGCGTCGCATTAGACATTATTTTGTTTGTTAATTAACTTGACTTATCGCCAGATCAATGATTGATTACGAACCTTCAACTTTATAGCACGCTACGCTCGTCTACTATAAAGTTATAGCAAATCGAGAATATCTCACGATGATCTACGCAGTCTTGGGTTTGCTGTTTCAGCTGTTGTAATTTGCTGTCATAAATTCGATTCAAAATCGAGCAGCGCTTAGAATTCTAAAAAAAAAAAAAACAACAACAACCAAGAACAACGACAGAGCTGAAACATCAAGAGGCATAACGTAATTAAACGCATAATAATCTAATTGCATATTTTGCGTGTTGATTAATGTTAATTGCCGACGCAGACGAATTCGCATTTATTATTCACATTCACATTCGTATTCGTATTCGTATTCGTATTCGCATTCGCATTCACATTCGGAGTTTCAGTCCGAAGCTCAGTGCGTTACTCATACGCAGCGTGCGCGGCGCTAATGACCACAGCAGAAATTGTATCTGTATCTGTATCGGTGTATCTGTATCTGTATCTGTATCTTTATGTGTAGCTGCAGCTGTGGCTGTATCTGTGTGCCGTGTCGGTAAATCTGTCAGCTCTGTAAATAACATTCGCACGCAGCCAACGCGTCGACTGCGCCGCATTCGATTGCGTTTTTATGCGCTTGTTGTTGTCGGATTTTAAATGCCAATGTCTTGCCCAAAATGCGACTGACCAGCGAACAGCGGCCAGCGGCCAATAGCCAACAACGGCTGCGTTCTGTGAATGAGTTTTGGCCCGGCCGAAAGTGTAACGCGGCGGTGGCGTGTCCCTGAACGCATGATTTGCTATTTCTATAAATCGCTTAGTGCGATTGGTTTGTGTATCGGCTAAATTTGGAATAATGTGTGATTGACTATGGGAAATTTCATATTTAGCTAGGGCAAGAGCTTTGAAAGGACATTTATTATTTGTTGGAATATGGGAGAAATGACTGTGGCCATTTGATATTTTATTGATGGGATATTAAAATATGGGATATTTCACATAATGCTACGATATTGAATACATTTTTGGTATTTTATTAGATTTTACGGCATTAAGTATGAAATATTTGCCATTTTCTTGGACTATAGCATAATAATTATTGAACATTTTATATGGCATATGGGATATTTATGGAGTAATTACCTGTGCCAATGTGGCCACCGTCAAGCCAAAGGTGAACGCTATCTGCGGCACTGTCGCACTTCCGGTCGCCGTGCTGCCAACGCCAATGAATACCAGCAAAAATGTGCCCACCAGCTCGCCGAGCAGCATGCGCCAGATTTTCTTGTTCTCCGTGATGTCGGCAACGCCAACGAATTTCGACATGTCTGTAAAGATAAACACACACACAGAGAGAAATACAAACATATTCGATCAGTATTAATATTAATAATGCTATGATTACAAACTTGCACAGCGCATGCCGAACTCTAATTAATTATTAAATTACTTATGCATCGACAAACATAATCAATCAATCAGCCATCGAGTCAGTTATCAAAAATCTGTAAATCGTGTCAAAAGGAAATCGAAATACAAGTTTTTTTTTTTTTGCGCCGAATTCGAACTTTGTTGTTCTCGGAATGAACACGAACTCGAAGCAGTTGTAAAGAGATCATTGACAGATGCTGATGACTTAATTGAGAATGTAATATAATAATGAACACTTTGTCATGTTTTCAGTACATATTCCAGTCGTACTCCTATTTCATATATCTGTTTTAGTTGTTATAGTAATTTGATATATAATCAATCAATCAGTGGGCCACAAAATATATGAAATGTAAAGTATTCTATATATATCTATTCCTCGAATTAGGTGATCTCAAACTGGATAATGACCGAAAGATATTTCTAGAGCTCTGCATTATATTCTAATATTAATTACTAATAATTTCCTATAAATTTTATATATCAAAATACCTAAGAAAAATCCCTTTCCCTTTCCTATAAGTTTCTCTCACAAATTCAACAAACACTGAGGTAATTCTTAATTTCCCTCTCGAATATCGTGTGAAAATTCATTTCATGTTAGTTTTCATAATCCATTGAAAGTTTCACACCCATTGATTAATTAATTGACTCGCATCGCACTCTGCGCATTATTTCCTCATTTGTTTAGTTAGATCTACGTTGTTTACGTTGTGCTGATGTTGTTGGGGTTGTTGTTGTTGCTGTTGCTTCATTCATGATGTTTATTCAAAGCCAATGCTAATCAGCTGAGGTGTCAATTAATTTGTTTAAACAAATAATATTGTTGAATTGACGCCTTATTTGCGAGAACGAACTGTGCAGTACTTAAGTGTGCCTACGACGTGTGTACTTAACCCAAGTTATTTATAGCCAATATTGTCGAACTAGAAATAAATCAAATACTTGATTAACTATGAAAACTAATTTATTATCTGTTTTAACACACTTTAAATATTTGGCGAAGCTTTATGGAACCAACTTTGGGCTTGGAGTAAAATTTCCCCTTAATTAACAGTAGATTCCAGGTAAATACTTGTATTTGCTGTTAAGTATTTTGATTCTGCCCTACTTTGAACCGACTTACGCAACTTGAGGGGTCATAAAAAAGATTGTTTATAATCCGCATGTAAATATTGTGCGGAATGAATGCTTATCAAATTCCCACTTTTAGCTCAGTCTGATAAGCGATGTTATCACAGGTTTCGCACACTTTACTTAATACGCCAATTATCTTCTACTGGGTCCCAGTTCCCGTGGAACACTGATAACGCAGGAGGGGCGGAAGGGGGCTACTTAACAGGAGCTCAACTGATTCGCATCATAAAACAATTGACAATTGACCATTGACGACAACGGCAATAGAATTAGTAAGAATATTATTTATAGAACAGAATGGAAACGCTTGACTCACATTTCATTCAGATTCATTGGGTATAAGTCGCAGCAGATATCAAATTGAATCTGCATAAGAAACGTGTGCGGAATATGTGAAATATGATTATGGTTAGCGGGGAAATTAAAATTAGTGGGAATTCAGCAGCTGCCTTCGACGTCTCTCACTCCGGCCAGCATAATTAATCAAAGTCAATTGTCAGTAGTTGCGATAAAAACTTAGTTGCGAGTCTTATAAATAGATATGAGAAATGAAATAGGGAATAGACATGATTGGAATGCGTCAACCTGTCTGCATGTCGAAAACAGTTTGCATGCGAAAAGTAAGCCACAGTGAACACCCACAGCTGATGAATTATGGCCGTATGCAAATATGAGACTCGAATTGGCGGCAAAGCATAAATAATTCGCATAAAAACGAGATCAGCGTGCTGACAGCCAATCTAAGAGCGCAATTAGCATAAGCCGAAATTAATGGTTTATTTGCATTGGGATATTTGTTCGGCTGTTCGGTTGCTCGGCGCTGTTCATTGTATGCTAAGCGTTCGCTAGCATTCAATTTGTTTATGCTAATCGGAATCTGGCGGGGCAGCCGGTGCGAGGGCAAGACAAGTGCTATTAATGTGTGAGACAATCAATCAATCAGTCAGTCACCGTCAGTCAGTCAGTTAGATCAATCAATCAATATTGCATCAATGCAACGTAGCGCATCATCATTAAGCCGCTCTTTCCATAACGGCGCTTTATCAATCACCGTTGAGCGAGGCTCCCTCAAGTTCAATGCGATCCACTCGATGCCAACTCGTTTGGAAGTTGAAATTGAAAAAAAGTGTATAAAATAAAAATTGAAAATGAAAATGAATATAAAAATGGAAATGGACTTGAGTTAGAGATTTAGCTAAGTCGACAACCAGTTTTTATTGTCAAATTGCCCTTGTCAGCTGAAACTTCCCTTTCAAGCATGTAAAGTGCTTACAGCAGTTACAACACTGTGATAAGCTGCTTTTAACTCATCCCCCGGGCTCATTGAGGTTGACATTCCCCGTCGCGTTATTAGCGCCCGAAGTGTGACTGAATCACAACCATAATTGATGACATGTAACTCGTTTGCCGTTTAGGCTCTAATCTTGCCCGCTGGCCATATTGGTAGCCATTGCCTGATAAGCCAATAGCAATAAATAAAACAATTTGTATAGTGCTTAAATATGCTAAAAATAGTTCAAGAATGTAGGATTATACAATTAATCTTATACTTGGAACAAATATTATTTATATATTATATATATTTTTATGAAACCAAAGAGGTTAAATTTGATTCTTAGCATAATGTTGGAATTTAACTTATATTTGAATAGCGCTCAAATTGTTCTGCTTTGACTTTCCTGCATTGTGATTGCCAAAGTCACATAATTTCTATTGTTACTGTTGCTGAAATGTTCGTATATGACTTAGGGCAAATAAACTGTTTATCTAAACATATGACTGTTCCTAAAATATACACAAATTTTTGACTACCAGGCGCATAATAAATATTGTGTTATGGCAGCTTTATCTCAGAACTAACTGAATTCGAAAGTTCACTTTCTGATTACATTTCAGACACTCTTATCAGAGTTAGCCTGGACAAGAACCATCTTTTATCTAAATTACCCATTTTAGTTTGACGCAGAAAGTAGGAATGAGAGAAAGGGGAATTTAATTTGGCTTAACCTTCAAGTGGATTTAATGGTTTATGTTTTTTTGTATATATATATATATCTATAATTTATTGTTTTTATTAACTCCTTGGCCACAGTCAAAATGCGTAAGTCATGTTCGCAGTGTTTTATCTTAAGTGATCTCTATGAGGCGCTGCCATTGAGCACAAATCAACAAGTTTAAGACTACAAAAATGGGTCTATAAAAATGAATGCCAAAAAGGAGAAGCAAAAGGCCAAAACAATAAACATTACACACAATAATTGCCAATTGGACAAAGCAAATATAAGAAAAAAGAAAAAAAAACATTGAATGTTGATTTTTTTCACCTTTTTCTTGTGGTTTCTTTGGCGAGGGCGTGACGACAAGACATTGAATGGATTTAAATGATCGAAAAATAAGAAAAAAGCAAGGCTACATAAACTGATTGTCTCTAATACCTACAGAAATCTGATCAATATTAATTGTGAGTATTGCCTGAAATGCTATTGATTGAAATAATTCATAAGTTACGAATCGTTTCGCGATAAATCGATGTTAAGTTTCCCAGAACATACAGCTCTACACCTATAAATATCATCGAACAAGTGGCAGCATATCGGATAAGAAGAGCATGAAAACAACATGATTTCAATTAGTGAAAACGCGCATCAGCCGTAAATACAAATAACAAGAATTTTTAATTGACGATAAACACGAACAACAACGCCCTCTGACGGCAGTTAGCACAAATTCCAGTAGCATGTGTCACGAGCTTAACGGTATTCCGAAGCTGCCGCTAATGTAACCCAAATAAGCGTGCATAAACGACTCGCAAATCACGAGCAGCCGAAGCAGCCGAAGTACGTCAAGTACTTCTCAGATTTCCAGCACACAAAATTGATATGCAAAGCGGGTAGAAAAGTCAGCACAGTCTTCCGTGTTGCGATTGAAAAGCAATTCGAACACGCAGAGAAAATACCCTGTCCTGGGGGAAGAAGTACAAACATATGTTATACATTTAGATTAAAGTACAAAGATAACAGATAGTTGCAGTATAACAAATATTAATATGGTTTTATAGTTTTATAACAATTCAATGTAAATGTACGTAGCACTCGTTCGTATAACGCTATAACACTTTATACTATATGAACCAATGAAAAGTCGCATAGCATATTGTATTGAAAAGCTTACTCATGTCCATCACTATAAGTATACCAGTATTACTTTTTGATATATAAAGTATTGAAATTGTCACTCAACTCGCCATCCATAATATCAGAATTCGTATTGCAGTATCAATATCATATGACACTTTAAAGCGCTCAGTATACATTAAATGTCTTTAGGTAATATGTGAATTGCTCTTCTATCTACAATACCTATTCAAACTGAGTACAGGGTATTTTACAGTCTCGAATTTCACTGTTATACACATAGGTTTTTGTCGGCGCTGGAAAGATTGAGATCTTGATGTTGCTACTGATGGCATATGAATGAATTTATAAGAATACATTTGTAGTATTTGCAATAAAACACGATTCATTCCGAATGTCAAGGTCATGCTCATGCAAGTACACACACACACACACACAAACACTCGTTCCGTATCAGAAGCTCGGCATCAATGGAGCTGCTTTGGCTTGGCCAGCTAAAGTTGTTAGAGGCTTGCCTTACTCCATATAATTTATGTTAACGGTAAAGTTGCGGCCTAGAAAGGAAATTTCATTGCATTTACATGTGTGTGTTGGTGTGTGTGTGTGCGGCACCGGACCGGTATAACAAATTCACAGCGAGGGTAATTTAAGAAGTACCAGAAAATTTTTAGCTGACTGAATAACGGAAGGCAATCTAATATTTTGCTTCTAGAAATTTGTTTGTTTTATCTAAAAATTGACTAGCTCAATTAATATTGAGCAATAATAATTGTGAAATTCCTTCAAATTTGCTAATCAAAAACAAATATGGAAAGAACTTACCGAGAAAAGCAACAAGAATTAATGCTTAGTTCGCAAATGAAATGTGATATTTTGATTGACAAGCAAAATTTAGCCGACAGTTGAGCTCTGTCGTAGTTCGGGCCAAGTTAGTGTCTGTGCAAGTGCCGCTAGCTGTAGTCCTCCTATTGCTAGTCAGATACAATCTCTTGCGGTGTGTCCGCCTTTCATGTGCCCGACAAGACTCCACAATTTACGAGCCAGCGGCGATAAGATAAAGACCAATGACAAGGCCAGCAAGAAGAAGAGCCAGAGCGACGATGATTATGAGTGTGTGTGTGTGTGTGTGTGTGTGTGTGTGTGTTGGGGGGTGCTTACTGACTAACAGATTGTTCAGTTACGCAATAATTAGCTTGCATGACTGCCAAATAGAAATATCTAAGAATCAGGTGAAGGCTTTCAGATATTTATGTCTGCTTGCAGCTCGTTTGGTTCTGCTCCACTTCCGCTGCAGCTTGGCTCACATCCTGCACTCAATTGGCAGTGCTGCCAAGAGGATGTTCAGCACTTGCTGCCTTGACCAATGGCCAGGGCTAAGGTAAGGGCAAACGCAAAGGCGAAGGCGCGGCTGGCCATCCACGTGTCAGCACACGCCCCAATAGAAGCCAAGTCAAAGGCTTGGCCTAACTCTCTCTCTCTCTCTCTCTGTGTGTGTTTGTGTGTGTGTGTGTGCCACACCTAAATCCTGTTAAAAATCACTAGCACTATTCATTTTGGGCGTTGCCTTGACTAACTAACTGCCTGACCGAGTGACTGACTGATTGACTGACTGACTGAGTCGACTGTCTATTCATGGATATGAGCGCACAACGCTGCGTATGAGCAATGTCCCTGACAAACAAATTTCCCCTTTATGCATAATAAAGCAAATAGCGAATTGGATATAAGTTTATAGAGCGTCTCGCATTTATGAGTTGTGGACACGCACAAATCGCATAACTTGCTAATTTACGAATAGCCATATGTGTTTCCGAAATGTTTTATTAAAGTCTGAATTATGAAGCGCACAAAATGATGATGAAGAGAAAACGTGCCGCGTTTTTTTTTTCGACTCTGCTGCCATGGCAATTAATCAATATAATCCCATTATTAATTTCGACCCACTGCAAACTCCTTCCCGGCACTTGCTGCGAAAAGGTGATGATTTTATTAAGACAGTCGGACAAAACAAACAAACATCAGCAGCAGCAGCAGCAGCAGAGACAGCAGCAACAACAAACAAAGCGCAGTTCTTCATAGTTAGTGGCAAAAAACCAGTTCTTGGCCAACAACAAATAAGACACGGCTCAAAACTCAGCCATAAATTTTGTTATAAATTCATTAATTAGTCAGCTTAGGCACGGGCTGCGACTGAGTGTGCGGGAGGTGTGTTTTATGGCCTGCTAATTTATGCCTTTAAGCGGGCTCGATTACCGAACCGATAAATCTAACCCAGGGAACTACGCCAAAGAATTCGATGAGTAAGCTTATCTTATTGCAGATCATTTAACAGATCTAGCTAATGGGTTTCTAAGAATACTGCTCTATGGCACAAAAAGTTCTCATCATTAAATTTTGATACCCTTTTCCTGTTTGACAGTCGGGCAGCCTTTGTTAAGTGAGTTTAATAAGTTTTTACGACTCTATCGGCTACTTATATAAAAAATGTTTATTTTTTTGCTAATGATTTTGCATTTGAAATTTTTTGCTGAGAGTCACGCAAACAAAAACTTTCCATGGAAAACAGATTTTCAAGTGGAAGTGATTCTGCCTGGCTGGATTATTAACTTAATTATAAGTCGCAGTCATTAATAACATGTTGAGCTACCGTTGAGCGATTAGACCAGTCACAGCCCACAGTAAGTGAGAAGCTGGCGCCTTCATCTTAGTCTCTTCTTCATCCCCTCTCGCTCTCTCTCCCTCTCTCTCTCTAGAAACAGTAGCAAATTTGCCACAAATTTCTCTATGTGATGTCATTCCGTGTGTCAACTAAAAGATAGTTTCAATGCGACTTCCGACTAGCAGTCGTGGCTGTGTTTAAGACACGATGTTGGCCTAGCATAAATTATGAGCGCACAATTGTCGCTCCAAAGGTGTTGCCAGAAGAGAAATTATAAACACGTTTTCGCTGTCCATTGCCAAAGCTCGTCGCTTCGCACAGCGAAGATCAATTACAGCCATTGTTTATGTGAGTGTGTGAGTGTGCGTGTGTATTCACTGTCAAGGTTAGCGGCCTATGTCAGGGGCTTTTAGCAGCCTGTTGTGGCCGATATATAAACTCAATATTGGTTTTTTGTTTCTCACGCGCTATTTGTGTTTGGACAATTGTTAAAACAAAAACACATCGAGTTGCGTACATTAATTAGCTGCTCTTGCTCTACCTGCGCTAGCGCAAATTAATTAACGGAGCAAATATTAAAGGTGTCTGTGTATTCGTGTGTAATTTTCTCAATTTCAATTTCAATTTCAATTTCTTATCGCTGTGAAGCAGCTGACGCCAATTGGCTTTATCTTCTGACCCGAAAGCTAAGCAAACTGCGCTGGATTCTGAGGAAATTATTTGCCATAAAAAATGTATTTGCCATAAATATCAATAGACGGCCATAATTTGTTGACAAATTTGCCTAACTGTCGCTTTGATTGCCTCTTATTTTTATAACTTTTTATTACTGCCAGCTTTCGTTGAGGAAGTGATCACTGCTTAAATAGCTGAAAGTTAATGTTGTGAGCCACAGCTGGCTCTTTTGTTATGAAAACGTCAGCAAACAGCCAGCAGTTAACAACAAAACTTCGTCATGTTGCCACGATGAAAATATTGAAAAGCAATCATTTATTGAATTAAAGGAAAAAAATCAACAAAAAGAAGGCAAAATACAAATCATATGCAAAAGACATGCACATTTGATTAAATAGCCAGAGATGATTTTTCAGTTTTCTGAAAATTATCATTAATTTCAGCTCGCAAGTCACATTGTTCAGTATTCGCTGAGAAAGCGAAGCATTCAAATTTATTCCCTTATTTAGCAGGGAAATTTTAAAAATAAATTCCTTAAAAAAGCTTTATCGCTTAATTTGTTGCTGTTAAATTTCTGTCTATTTTTAGCTGACTCTGTAACTGTTATACTTGCAGAAAACTGTAATATTTTATGATCATAAAATATTTCATGATCAAAGACCATTTCATTTACATTTTCTTATAATCTTGAGTCAGCGGAAAGAGCTTAAGAGTTTTGTCTGTATGAAGTACTATATTTAGAGACTTTGAATTTAGTATATATACTCCAGTGGAGCCTCATCTGACTCTATTCGACTATTTTTATATTATATAATAAGAGTTATTTTATATGGCAATATTTAAGATAGAGATCGTATATTCAATATGTATATATAGATACTAATATACCAGCCCCTAAACTGGTGAGGGATTAACCTGTAAAACTTATGTGCTATTAGTTCTCAGGCTGTGAGAAATAGAGGTACATATTTTAGAAGACTATATTGCTCTCATCTCATTAATATAAGGTACGGTAAAGATATATATCATAAGATATTATATGGGAATATTTTTCCATATTAATGGTAAAGATATATATCACAAGATATTTTTCCATATTGTATATAAGCTGAGAACTAATATCCCACAAATCTAGCAAATGAATTCCTGTTGACAAAAAAAAGTACATTAGTTACGCCCATTTAGACATGACGAATCGGAACGCCTTCTGTAAAGCTTCACTAAACATAGAACTGTAATTTAGTTAGAGACGCGCATTAAGGCGTGGCTAATCGAAGAACATGTATAATCTGGCGATTTTAACTGTACTTTCTAGTTTAATCTCTAAACGAGTATTGGACAGTCGGCTACGCCCGACAGTCAAATTTCAACTCGATTGCTGCTGCGCAGTAATTTATTGTCTTGCTGAAGCTTAACTGAAAATAATTTCCCTGTTTTTTTCTCCTTTAAGTAAACAATACAATTTGGGAAATATGTTCTGTGAAGTTTTTAACTCTTGTGAAGAAACAATTTATGCGCTTGACAAGCGTATAATTAGATTAAAGATATTAATTAAAGTTTTAATTTTGATGGTGTTTTCTTTTTGCCAAATTTTGTTTTGCATTTTTGCTAGTACTTTCTACAATTTCAATGGTTTTTCACTCATATTCAAATGTGGCAAATGTGCCACAACATATTCCACACACGAGCCAATTCGCACACGTTAACCTTCACACATACAAACACACACACACACACACATAATATTTACATGACAATACAAACCAGCTGCATGCCAAAACACTTGAAAATTTCCCCCGAAAATATATCGCCCATTCATTCAGTCGCTTTGCCACTTGCACTCACCTGTCTTCTCAACCATTTTGCACTATTTCTCGTGTGTCTCTTTCTTCTCCGTTCTTCCTCTTCTGTCTTTGGCTACTGCTGCTGATGCTGCTGCGGCTACTCGAGTTTAGCGCCGCGTGGGTTCGTTGCTTTCGTTTTGCGGGGTAAAAGTGCGATTGGGGCTTCGGCGGTGTTTTGTGGGGTATTCGAGACGTACTTGGGCACACTTGAACGAAATGATTGTGCCAAATGTTTTTTATTGCCAAATAATGATTGTTAAGGTTAAGTGGCTGGGAGTTGCACAATGGTCAGAGACGCAGACCCTTGACCATAAAAATTCGCCTCGATGTTCGATATTTCGTTTCGTATCGATCGAGCCGTTCACAATTGCGCAAATGCCGCTATACACCGCTATAAATCTGTTATACTGTCCGCAACTAACAATGACAATTTCACTTAACGGCAATTGTTTAGCATTTCTTTTGTAGGCGAAACTCTTGATTTTTGTTTTTGTTTCGCTTTTTTGCTTTTACAGCGCGCGATCGTTTAACGAAAATGAAAATGAAAGCGCGACAACGAAATTTACTCAATTTAATTAACTTGGCTTAGTTGGCGCCGCTTCGCCAGATAATTGAAATTGAAATCGAAATTGAATTTATTTTATGATAGCGAGCACTTGATGAACTATCTTTAAAAACTTTCTGACTTTGACTGTTTGGGCCAGAGTTTTGTGTTGGCCGATTCGCTTCGCTTTGCTTCGATTGGTGAGTTTTTGCTTTTGGCTTTTGATTTGATTTTGCTTTGCTTTGCTTTGCTTTACGTTCGCTGCTGCCACGTTCGCTGCTCGAGCGCAAATAAACGTTACGGCCGCTGTGTCAGTAACTGATATACTCTCAGTCGGCTCGCTGCCGCTAGCGCCGGCTTCGACGGCGACTGTGCTCGCTGGCTATGCGACAGCTGCGACTGCGAAGCCAGGCGTCGCAGTCAGCGCAGCCTTTTAGCATTTGGGCTTGGCGCTGAGCGGCTGCTGCTGTTTGGATTTACCGTTAAAGGACTGACTGCCTGACGACTTGCCCTTATGACTTAATTAGTACAGTTTGCATACGACCTATACCCTTAGCAAGAATGAGAATGCGTAGGGGGTGTATCATTTATACTTGGAAAGTATTTTCTAACCTTAAAAACTTTATCATCTAAATGTTCTTATAACTAAAATACTGCTATATTACTATACTATATTTGATGCCCTCAATTATTTCCTTGTATTATATTATATTTCTATTTATTTATTTATTGAATCCTTTTTTTTTTTAGATATTAATGTTAGACTGTAAGTTCCTGAACTAAACTTAATAGATA